AAAGACATGTCAAACATGAGAGAAATACTTCTAAATGACTGTCTTGTTTTAGGTCGTAGTCGCAATAATGTTTTGTTCTGAAGTACCTTCCTCTGAGTATAGGCATAGGAATCTAGTATCCTAGTACTGTATAAAGTCATTACAGAAAGGGTCGCTGCTCTGAAGATTTTAAATTACAAGTAACTTAAGTAGGTTGTTTCAAAAATATTCATGTAGAAAAAAGATGAGCATTTATGACAAGTGATGTGTACAGAATGCTTTTACGCTCTCCAATGCAGATTCCTGTTTTTTGAGGTAAGTGCAACTGTGCCAGTCATATTATTGGTTAGCCAGCAATAACAGATATTGCAAAAAAAATTGGGCAGCAATTGTGTAAGTTTCCTCTATAGCATATGTGCTGCTGCTGGGAGAAAAGGACAGTTCTTTTACTAGATCTATCTGGTAATTAGTGTTTTTATAATAATAAAATGTAAATATTCCTTCTAAAGTATTAGCATGTTCTACAAACAAGGGTCATCTTCCCTTGAAAAAGTGAGAGCATCCTGACTTTCAGACAGGTAGTTTTGAATGTTTCCAGGGATGGGGCCTCCACCACCTCTCTGGGCAAGCTTACCACCCTCATCGTAAAAAATGTCTTCCTTGAACTAGAAGAGGGTCGATTCAGACTACACAGAACACCAGTACCCCTTGTCCTGTTGCTACAGGCCCTACCAAAAAGTCTGTCCCCATCTTTCCTTTAGACCCCCTTTAAGTATTGGAAGGCTGCAATAAGGTCTCCATGGAACCTTCTCCAGGTTGAACAACCCCAGCTCTCTCAGCCTGTCCTCATGGGAGAGGTGCTCTATCCCTCTGATAATTTTTGTGGCCCTCCTCTGGACCTCCTCCAACATGTCCGTGTCATTGCTCTTATGAATTAAGAGATTGACCTAATTCTGCTTTGCACAGATATTTTCGTACTGCATAATGTTTTACAGAAATGAGATGTCATATTTCGAGCTCTTACATATGTCTTACGGATTTGGTGAGACTCAGTAATCATACATAGTGCTTCATGGGGAACTGGAAGCTTGGATCCATGTAGCTTTTGATTAATTCCAAATCGTTAATATAAATGAAAAGGAAATACAAGATTTGCTTTAAAAAAGTGAAGTAACTTAAGTCTCACTTTCTATGCAGTTTACATGCATAATTGATTTAAGTGTTGTTTGGTTTTTGGTACTTGTTGCCTACCTCTTCCAGTGAGTTGCCAACTTCCAACCATCTATCTATTGGGAGAAGAATACAGCAGATAAATATATAGCAAATTTTTGGAATTTTTTAGGGATAGTTTTTTCATAGACACCCAAAATAGACAAAGCAAAAAACCACAGGGGATATTGCATTTTAACCCAGTAAGTACGGAAGAACTGACTGAAAATTGAAATGGAAAGTAGTTTAGGTGATATTGATAGTGAAATAATGGAGGCCACAATACTTAAGAAAGGAAAGTGAAAAGCAAGATCAACAGACTTGTAATAACTTCATAAATGTTTACACAAAAAGTGTCAAACTCTTTCAGATGTCATGAATTATAGCAATTTGGTCTTGGGCACAGGTAAATAACATTCAGGTGATTGACTGGTGATTAGTAAGATTTTTCTGCAGCTATGTCTCATACATCTCATAAATGGTGGGTTTGTCTTCACAAAGTAACATGAGAATCTGTGGGGCTAGTGCGTCTGAATCTGTTAGACATTCAGAATTCATTTTTTTGCTTTCTTTCTGTGCTTGTACTATAACATGTATATTGAAAATATGTAAGAGAGGTACACAGACAATGTCAGATCTAAGAAATCTCAGTTAGTTAAAAATAATTAATTTGCATTTATTTTGCTAAATAAATTGTCTGCATTCTTGATATTACAATTAAAATGTTGCCCACTGCATATTAGCGTAAACTAATGTAGACATATCAGTATTATTACTTACCAGATGGTTTATCAGTTGAAGTTGGAATACTAGTAACCGCAGGCATGGTTGGTAAGGTAGGTGGCAGAACCTTTAAATTCTGATCACTCTGAATCTCATTAGTAGATATCTGGTTAATAATGCGATTGTAAGTAGGAGGCTGGTACGCTTTATTTGGTGACACTGGAGTTTGTGGCAGTGGCTTTACAGGTGGCATTCTTTGACAGTGTTCTTCCAGTTGGGCAATTATTATTGACTGATTATTGGCAATTGACATCAAATGTTGGTACTTGTGCTCTAAGTCTTTGTATTTGTTTGCAAGCTGCAACATATCTGCAGTTTGGTTCAAAATCTTATTCTCAAGTTGAGAAAGTTCTAAGGCGTTGTCACGTTTTCGGATAATTTCATGTAGCAACTGCATATAGAGTTGTGTGACACGAGAATTCATATTTCTGCTTTCTTTTCTTAAGAGTTTAACCTCATTAACAATGCCACCATCCACCTCTACCAGTTGCTGGAGAGTTTCTATTTGTCTCTTTTGTTTAAGAAGTTCATTGTTAAGTAACTGTAATTCTTGCTTATTTACCCTGTTTTCAAGTAGAACTTCAGGCTCCTTAGAATTAACACAAATGGCACCTGTCACTCTCTGTTGAGGTACAATAAAGGTGTAAGTACATTTGTCCTGTGTGTCACTGGAACGCTTATATCTGTTCATATAAATGAATTCTTGTTCTGTTTCTTCATCATTGCTTTCAAATTCCTGTGTTTTGCTTGCAGTAGCTCCCACAACAGCTATTAGCATTAAACAGATGAATCTTGTTGTCATCATGATCCTCTAGTTCAGGTGGAATATTCTTCTGCAAAGAACTTCTCAAAATCTGTTTTAAAATAAATTTAACAATAAGTAACAAGTAGGAAAACAGTGCAAATTTACAGCTGATAATCTGTTCTAGTGCTTACAAAATATATAGTAACTAGTTTGAGTACAAATGAGATATTTTTGTTGTCCAGCATGAATTTACGTTGGCTGAAGGGGACATTATGGGCAATAGTTGTATCACTCTATGGCCGGAACTGTAGTTACTAGTTGCTAGTTTATCTCAAGCCTGCCAAGAACTACAACAAACTAAGGAATCAATACCAGAATTTGAAGAGTCCTTTCTTCCAGGCAAGTACCACAAAAGTTTCCAAGATTGGTGTTTTTATTTAAATATTAATTACATTTTCATTTCTTACAGTTACAAATGCAACCTTTCAATGTAAACAGAATGTAAGTTAATGTGTTGTTAAAAATTCTAAAAATATAAAATAGCTCATTTGCAGTATTTTATAACTGCATGTATATTGTAGGAGATATAGCTTAGATGAAATATAACAATTTCACTTCAGTCACCAGTATTGAACCTCAATTGGCTTTTGTTTGTTTTGTTGGGTTTTTTTTAAGGGAAGAACTTACTATATTAGTCCTTTATAATTATAAATTAATACTCTACTGCCCAAATATCATAGGCAGTAAAATCTGTTGCTTTTCCAGACTATAGGATTTAAACTAAAATATTTATTGTGACTCTCACTGGAGATACTGTCTTTACACTCAGCCTGGTCATTTCACTTCACAGTCTCTTCTCGGAAGGGGTAAAACACGTGCATATGTGCATGGTGGACAGAGATGACCGCCGGTGATTAAAATTAGCTACTAGTGTGTATTGACATACTGCAACAGTGCCCTTTTGGTGAAACTGCACTAACTTAGTTCTCAGAGCAGATTCATATCCAAGGTGGAAATTTGAGGCCATCGCAACATCTTAAAAAAGAAGTCAGTACCAGAACTTTATAGGCAACAGTGGTCTTGGAGACATGAGCTTAACATTGTCACTACTGCCAGGAATGTCCTTGTCATGGATCACTTATCAGCTGCTTGAACAGCACATGTATTTCTAACAGCTTTGTGTTACTGAATTTTAATAAGCATGTGTATATATAACCTGGTTTTCTTAAATAGAATGAGAGGAAACAAATACAGCATGGAGCTTTTTCAGTGTATAAAGCCTGCTTGATACTTTTTAAAACTGAGGTGGTGTTACCATCATATTTTTCTTAGCTTGTAAAACATTTAACATGGAATAACCATTCAGTGTTTAACTAACTGTCACTTTACTGCTTGGTCATCCTTAGTACAATGACATTTTTTAAGTTACATGAAATTATGATAGTAACACTTGCAAGAAACTGTAATGAGTCCTGCTGAGTGCAACCAACATGGATTGCTAGAGGCAGGCAGACATGATGTATGAGGAGCAGCAGAAAGAGCTAGGTTTGTTTAGCCTCTGGAAAAGAAGGTGAAGGAGACATCTTACTGCAGTCTTCAACTACTTAATGGGTGTTTGTAGAGAAGATGGCTTATTTTTGGAAGTACACAGTGAAAGTATAATGGTCAATGGATACAAATTGCCTCAAGAAAAATTCATTTTGGGTTTTAGAAAAAAAACGAGTTTCACACAGAGGGTGACCAAAGACTGAAGCAGTCACCCAAAGAGGCAGTAGAATCTCCTCTCCTGGAAGTACATAAAGTTTTGATTTAGACAAGGCTCTGAGCAGCCTGATTTAATGTTGAAATTAGCCTTGGTTTGTAAGACGAAGGTGAGGTCCTATCCAGTCTGAATTGTTCTATGATTATAGGCAGCTGCTGGCTTTTAAGAATTTTTTTTCAAGTTTCAAGATAATGATGGATATGCATGCTTAAATAATTATTCATACTGAGAAGAGAGATGGTTGTCAAGTTCACATTTTTCTGTTGTTTTGAAATAAACTATGGAAGTTTCTGTAAATTGACTCAAACCACAGTGACCAGGACTTGATCCTTCTTAAAGTTTTTGGATATACATTTTTGCCTCAGTTCCTTATTTGGAATAAACTCATTTCCATTTTGCAAATGGAAAGGAATTGTGCTTTACGGAACTTGTCAAGAATCTTGAAAACTTGTGAGATAAAAGTATGAAGTTTGACATGGTTTCTCTAAGTTAAGGAATGTTATTTGGAGCTCTGGAAAACTGGGAACATAAATTCACCCCAGACTGCTTTAACTTGCATAATCGGCATTTGCACAGCAGGTCACACTTGGAAATCCTGGCAGTTTTCCAGGCCTCATATTTCTGCACAGATGGACTGGTTTTGCAAATCTCTCTCACATATAGGTGTAAAATGGGTTGTATTTAATTGTTTGAATTGAAATGTCTTTGTCTCCCCCCCCCCGGTCAAAAACTGTAATTGTTGTGATCACTGAAAAGAAAGAATTTTTTCCTCAGTTTACTTGTGTCTTTGCTACAGCATCTCATGTCTTCAACTGAGCACAGGGTCTGGGGTGCACGTTCTTTTCCAGGCTGAAGAAATACAGAGCAACATAGAACAGTTTGATTTTTCTCCAATTATTTTAAGAACTGTTTAAGAAAAAAAATGGAACAGAGTTCATCAGCCTCATCTTAACAGATCAGTTCAAACATCTTTCAAAATAGAATATAATAGACTATTTCAGTTGGTGGGGACCTACAACAATCATCTATAGTCCAACTGCCCCTTCAAGGATGACCAAGTTAAAGCATGGTATTAAGAGCATGGTCCAAATGCCTCTTAAACACTGTGACAGGCTTGGGGCATCGACCTCCTCTCTAGGAAGCCTGTTCCAGCATTTGACCAATGTTTGCAGAAGGTAAGCCATCATTGAATGACATCAGCATGATTAGACTGTGCTGAAATGCTTCTCTCTCATGATCTTGCCTGCATGTCACCTTTTCTAAGGTGTTCTTCCTATAAGAAAACATTGGAAGAAAAATACATTGCTAAGAGGGTGCTCCTGTACAAATAGAAACAAGAACCATACTGTCTTCAGATGTCCTCCTTCCTTGCAGAGTCTGTTTATGAAGTGATCCTTTAAGTCTTTTATTGTCTGTACTTGTTCAGTTAAAAAAAGTGTTCAGAATGAGGCCTGTTTGTTGCATATGGTGATGGACTACATAACATAAATGGCATTTCTTCTCTTCTGCACTTGGATTCAAATGAAGTTCATAACCAACATGCTTGTTTGAACAACTCTCAATGATTAATCTTTCAGGGAGAAAAAAGCTTGCTGGAGGAAGGGAAGTCAGAGAAACAATCTTAAGGAAGGATTTAATGCTTTTTAATATCTTCCTCTGCTTTTTGAGTGGGAGAACATCAGATTCTTAAGACATCAGAACTCCTTCCCATGGGAGAGGAAGATCTTGTTTATTTGCTGTCTACCACACTAGCTTTCAGTTTTCTTCTGTTTGCACTTTTGCCAAGTAATTGCTCGTACTCTTTGTACTTAACTAGAGCCGTTGCTTGCTGATCACTCGGTTCTGCCTGTGTCTCTGGCTTGGCGCCCCCCTTCCTCTCTCCCAGGAGCTGCTCTGCAGTGGACTGTGAGGGAACTCTTACTGGAGCCATATTTGTCCCCAGTGCACAATTCCAGTTAGGTACCTGTAGACTTCTCAACCTCACCATTGCACAAAACCGCATTATTAACAAACATGCTTGCAGGTTTGGTGCAGATTTTCTTAATTACTGGAAATATAACATGTCTCTCTTTTTATCCTTGTGCACACTGACAAAACTTCAGCAAACAAGCATACAAACAAAAAGTGGGAGAAGTAAAAGAATACTTAAAAAGCTGTGTCATTTTAATTAAAAATCAAATAGAACTTCTGATTAGAAAAACTATGGAAGTTTGAAGTAATTTCATTTCTAGATTCTGGCTGTTCAAGTCTTGTGTACTCACAAAAGCATTTTTCATGGAAGTTGAGTTGGGACAAACTTGCCCTAGTGCAGATGCACCTAAACCCAATTTTGTGTATGCTTACCCTACTTGGCAGTATATATTACTTTATTCAGGCAACATTTTTTTTTTTCTGTTTGTCTTTTGCCAGTATAACTGCATCTGTATGAAAACTTCTGGCAGCGTTTCTGTGTGGGTTATAATCATAGTATTTTTTTCTTTCTCTTATTTTTTCTTTCTCTTATTATATCCCTTAAAAAGGGATCCAGAATTGTGGGGGGGTATTTTTTTCATTATTTCACTCTGTTTTCTATATATGGCTTTATTCATGTGTCATATTTTCTTTTTTTCTGTAATAGGTGACTTTCATTTCATTAAAGAGTGGATAGGCAAGGTCCAACACTCACAGTTTATTCCCATTCTTGTAAATTGCTCTGACTCAAGGGTGTATAGACTAGAGTCTGAATTGGTAAGAGAGTGTGGAGGTCTAACATGCCAGAATTGAGTGCGCCATAATTAAACTGATACCTCGGAGCCTTTCAGAAATACCCAGATAGATGAAAAACCACTTATATAAGAAGGATGAGATACGCACTTTTTGCACAACACTGACGTTTAATGCCATTTCCTTGTATGGTTGTTTTGACTTAGAAGAAAAAAGTAGCAGTGGTATCCTACATACAGATGAGTTTGCTTTGCTATGCTAAATCTCTCTGTTACAAATTCGAGGCCCGTGGATTAAGTAGTTATTGTGTGCTGGTCATATTTAATATAACGAGGTTAGCAGTCATTTGATGGCTGGCTTTTCCTACATATGTGCTATGGTACCTTTTCATGCAGACTCCCCAGGCATGTAGACATACAAATGAACGCACGTTCACAAAAGGCATAGTGTTAGCTATTACAGCATTTATTCTTGAAAAGATAAAACTATTTTATTTGATTATGAATTCACACATAGTTTGATAACTGTTCATTCTAAAGACGAAACATGAAAAACTAGCAACAAATCTTCACTTTTTTTAGTACTTTTGTCTTTGATATTAAAAGGGGTTTTTAGATTAGTGCAGTTTTACATTTTAATTGGATTGTAAAAGCAAATGGAGCAAGGGTGTTAAATGTAAAATCCTACTATAAAAAGATCAGAGGGTTTGGGGGTTTTTTTGGTTAACAAACATTAGGTTTTGCTTCTGCAGAGTCCTTTGATAGTCAGTGTTTGTGGATTTACAGTTAGCTCGCATGTTCCAGGCACCAGGCCAGTAATACGATCTGGATTTCACAACACCATTGTGATAAGATAGATAAGCATGAATTTTCTGAAGCTGCTTTCTTTCTTACTCCATGCCCCTTTTCTCAGAGCTCATGCTCTCTTCTTGCTCCTTGTCCCAAACATTCTCTTGCATGAAATGATATTAATCCATCCTCTCAATTTTTCAGGTAGTCATATTTATTGACATTTCATATTTAATGACATTTATTAATTTTTGCTCTCATGGAAGGATAGAGAGGGGCTTCCACTGAGGTTTTCTTTTAGAATTGACTCGCGTAATTTGATTTTTAGATTTAGAGTTCTGCTGTGAAAAAACTGATCGCTGTTTTGTTTTTTTTTTTCAGTTTTGTAAAAGGAAACAGCAATTCACAGTGAAAATACAGCACGGAAGTTTGCATGCCACATATATTAGGAAAAGCTTTAAAGTTTTATTTTAAGTTTTAAAGTAAACATAATAGGGGATATGGAAGGGCATGCAGTTTCAGTTATGAAAACATGATGTAAAACTAAGTTGGAAAATTTAACTCCAAACTTACGGGGGGAGTGATTTTTGGTTTTTTGCCACTAGTAACTTGATTCCATTGTAAGCAGTGCCACACTGACAGAAACCAATTAATTGCTTTAGATACTCTTCCTATAATGCATTCTATACTTGGCTTTTCTGTCCACTGAAAATTGTGGTGAAAAAATTTTGGTTCAAGCACTAGTTTGTTCTTCCTAAAAGGAAATACTTTTTTCACTGAGGGGAATGGATGACTAAAGCAACACTTCAGAATGAGAGTGTCTTAATTAGCTCTTGGAGAACTTTTGTTTTGAAATGCTATCAAGTGCTGCAAGAAACTTCAAAACATGTATCTTTTGCTGCCATGTAACTTTTTTTTCAAGTTCTGGCAAAAGATAGCTTTTTTTTAGTTACAAGAAGTACAAATTTTCTATCTGGATTACCAAGAATTTTAGTAGTCTTGTTTGTGGATTGTCCTTTGTGCTTTACTAAGGTTCTGTCATAGATGTGGAATGTAATTATTGAAAGAGAGCACTGCTTTTGTTGTTACTTCCCTTAACAGCGGCCTCACCTTATTTTCACTTAATCCAATCACTACCAAAAAGTGCTCATACTGTGTGTGCTTATATGTGTGCGTGCACATTGTACATAATAGCCCTTGAACAGATTCACATTTTAATAAATGATTCATTTTGCCCATGACAAATAGTAGTGAGATCATATAGTAAATATTTAATGCTTACACAAAGGTATTCATAAATGATAGGTTCTTTTTTAAATACAATTTTTGCAAAATCTTTGAAATATTTATTTTATAGACTCTATTAAAGTTCCAGGAACTTTTATATTGCCTTGATCAGACACGAGTGTGTGAGAGACTGAATGGAGATTTCATAATTTTTAATAGGGGTAGTCGTTCAGAAAAGTTACAGAAATTACTATGTCCTAGACAGTTTGTTGAAAAGCATACGCATTTTCAGCGGATTTGAAGCATGAAGGCCAAAGTTACATGCAGAATTAAATAAGATAAAAGATTTCATATTAAAATAATGACAAGAAGGCAATTTCACTGCCTGGCATCATAAAATGTCGCAACTATCTTCACAACTATATTTCAATACTTTTTTTCTAAAGAAAAAAAAAAAAGAAAAACCGGGCTTGCTGCTTTGTATTAGGGAGCAGTACTATCTTTGACAGGCTTACATTCACTCACAGGATAGTCCGGCTGCCTGTGAGCCAGTCAGTGCCTGGACCCTGGGCGTACAAAGCCCGCTGCACCCTTCAAATGCAATCCATCTGCGCTACCCGTTCTTACCCTGTCTCCTTTGGCTTCCTTCTTCAGTCCTGAGCGCGCCCTCGTCCCGGGAGTTGGCACATCTCGCGTAGCCGGCTCTATCCGAGGTGTGACTCCGGCCACCTGAGGTCTGCGGCCGGTAGCTTTGTACGCTGTGCTGCAGCCGGACCAGGAAATAGCTAGGTGATCTTTTCCTCTGCTTTGCTTTTCTTCAAGATTTGTCACAGCTGGACTACCCAGGCTGAGCCGCACATCCGCACCGTGC